TGCTTTCAGCAAAGTGACAGGATGCAAAATTAACACCCCCAAATCAGTAGCCTTCTTGTATACCTATAACAAGCATGCTGAGAAAGAAAACAGAGAAACAGTTCTATTCACAATTGCCTCTAAAAAGAAAAAATACTTGGAATAAACCTAACCAAGGAAGTGAAAGATTGGAAGAATTAAAATAGCCATGCTAGCTGGGTGTGGCGGTGCACGCCTTTAATCCCAGCACTCGGGAGACAGAGGCAGGTGGATCCTCTGTGAGTTCGAGGGCAGCCTGGTCTACAGAGTGAGTTCCAGGCAACTGGAGCTATAGGGAGACCCTGTCTCAAAAAGACCAAAAAAAAAAAAAAAAAAAAAAAAACACGCCATGCTATCAGTCACACTCTATAGATTCAGTTCAATTCTCATTAAAATTCCATTGGAATTCTTCTCAGAAATAGGAAACCAATTTTAAACTTCATATGGAGGCACAGAACACCCCAAATAGCCAAAATAATCCTTAGGAGGAAAAAAATATGACAGGGCTATCTATCATTGTACCTGATTTCAAGTTGTACTACAGAGCCATAATAACAGAAACAGCACATTGATCAAGGAACAGAGAAGAGGGCCTAGTTATAAACCCACACAGTTACAGCTGCCTGAATTTTGACAAAGATGCTAAGAATAAATACATTGGATAGCCTTTTCAATAAAGGCATGGTACTAGGAAAACTGGATATCCATGTATAAAATGAAGCTACATCCTTATCTTTTGCAGTGTTCAAAACTCAACTCCAAATAGATCAAAGATCTTAACATAAGACCTGAAACTCTAAAACTGATAAAGTAGGGGAAATTTTTCAAAATATTGCCATAAGGGGCTGGAGAAATGGCTCAATAGTTAAGAGCACTTGCTGCCTCTTCCAGAGGAGCAGAATTCAGTTCCCAGCACCCAAGTCTGTCAGCTCACAACTTCTTGTAAGGGACCCAACACCTGCTTTTGGTTTCCACGGACACCCCTCCACACACACGTGTGCATAAGCACATACACACAAATAATAAATCTTTTTATTATTTTGGTCTTTTTGAGACAGGGTCTCCCTGTAGCCCCAGTTGGCCTAGAACTTACTATATAGACCAGGCTGGCCTTGAACTCACAGAGATCCACCTGCCTCTACCTCCTGAGTGTTGGGATTAAAGGCATGCACCACCATGCCTGGCACAAATAATAAATCTTTTTTAAAGATACTGATATAAGCAAGGACTTTCTTAATAGAATTCAGAAAATAGCGCTAACAATTGACAAATGGTATTTCATGAAATTAAAAAGCTTCCACACAGCAAAAGAGAGGTTGATCAAGTAAACAGTCTGCAGGAAGGGAGAAAAATCATTGCTACCTCTACATCTGAGAGAGGATTAATATCTAGAATATACAAAGAACTCAAAAAACTAAATACCAGAAAAACAAACCCCCAGTCAATAAATGGGTTAATGGAAAGTCCTCAAAAGATGAACTACATATGGCCAAATGAACATATGAAAACATGTTCAACATCACTAGCCATCAGAGAAATGCACATGAAAACTACATTGAGATTCCATCTCACCCCAATCAGAATGGCAGTCATTATAACGACAGTGTGGTGAGGGGGTGGACAAAAGGGAACCCGTATGCACTGCTGTTGGGAATGTAACTAGTCTAGCCAGTATGGAAATCAGTGTGGTTTTTCCTCAAAAGTCAGAAAATAGACCTACCATATGACCCAGCTATATACCGCTTCTGGATATGTACTCAAAAGACTCCAAATCAACATACACAAAGATACTTGTGTATCAGTATTTATTGCAGCACTGTTCACCATAGTTAAGTTGTGGAACCAACCTAGGTGTCCATTAATAGAGGAGTGGATAAAGAAAATGTGGTACATTTATACAGTGAATTATTTCTAGCCATAAGAATGAAGTTATGTCATTTGCTAGAAAATGAATGCAATAGGAGGTACTCATATTAGGTGAATTAAGTCAATCTCAAAATGACAAACATCATTTTGTTTCGCTTAGTGACTTTACAGACACAAAATCATGTATGTGTGACATGAAAGCAGAAGCAAAACTGTCTAGGGGAGCAAGGGGGACTAATGGGAGGGGGGAGGGCAAGGAGGTTAGAGAGGCATTAGTAGCGGATACCAAGTACATTGTCTACTTGCAATTATTTACTTGTTCTGTGTACCCCAATATAATATATTTTTTTAAAAACCAAGGCTAGGAAGGTAGCCTAGTAGGTAGACTGCTTTCTGTACAAGTATAAAGACCCAAGTTCAATCCCCAGCACTCAGGTGAAAAGCTGGGTGTGGTGCCTGTGCTGATAATTCAGAGCTAGGGATGCAGAGACAGCTAGATCCATGGGACTTGCTGGCCAGACAGGCTAGACTAGTCAGCAAGCCCCAGGTCCCAGTGAGCGACCCTGTCTCAAAAAAATAAATTAATTAATTAAAAAGTAAAACAAGAGGATGTTGCCTGAAGAACAACACCCAAGGTTGATCTGTGGTACACACACATACATACACAGAGAGGAAATGTTTAATAAATTTAAAGTGTTGAAAAGACTTGATACCTATCTATTACCCCATTTAGATTACCACACTATATCCATGTATTGAAATGGTACATTGCACCCCCAAAATAATATTTGTAATTATCTATTAATTAAAAATACTTAAAATATTTTTAAATTTTAAGGCAAAAAAAAAAATAATAATACAGAGCCGACATGTTTCTCTGTCCCTTGCACCTCTGCTACTTTTTCTGATATCAGGTAAATAAAGCATGCTTCTCCCATAATTAACTTTTCAAATTGCATCATGTGTAGCGAAGCCTGCTCTTCCGCCAGCTGAACAAGTCCAGACCTTGTGCACCAGACCTGTGGCACATGGACTGGCTGCTTTCCTTCCAGCACTGGGCCTTTGACTCCATTGCCTGGATTCTCTTTGCTCTCTGGCAGCATTTTTCTCAGCATTGTTTGTATAAGTGGAGAATTTGTTTCAACATGTCTGTATTTTCTGTCAGGCTTTTCTCTCCTAGGGTGACTATCCCCATTCCAAGCTTGGAACTCTCAGAAGCACAAAGTTGGACTTAGCCATTGGTCTGTGCAGTTCCATGAAGTGTGGCGCTGTGACATCCATGCGAGCCTTGGTGCACATGCCTTCATTTGGCCTGCTGTGAAACCACGCAGCCTTCTTTGCTACGTTACCTAAACCCTTGCCCCCCCCCCGCTTTTAACTAGGTTTAATCTTTTATTTTAGAGTGCTTTAACTTTTCCTCATCCATATTGGATTGTTCTTTAAGTTGACACCTAAAAAGAAACAAACAGAAAAACCCAAAATGCTGATCTCCAAATGTTTCCTGAATCTTAAAGTGGCTTTAAAGTTAAAACTCAGGTTTGATTGGCACTGCCTGGGAAGTGCAGGGAGGCAAGTGCCAGCCCCCACTTGATAAGATCTGAATAAGCATCTGCTCTGCTTTGAAAATAATCATGTGACCTTCAATTATCGCCACACTGCTCTGAGTTACATTTTCCACAAATCTAAAAATCAGATGGATCGACCCTATTCTAGGTTTGCTTTAAAAACAAACATTCAATATTAAGACCTTATGGCAAATGACAGCACAGTTGTCTGGCAATATTTTGATTTGGGAGTTCAAAAAAAATTTAGTAAGAAAATGAAATATTGGTGATACTGGTTATTTCAGACTCTCGGTTCCTAAAAAGCTGTCACTGACTTTCTTATGAATGAATAGTGAGTATGCACATTGCATTCTAGAGAAAAAGATCATAATTTCGAATAGGTATTGATGTGTTCTCACACTTCAGGAAAGGAGTTCAGTTAAGAAGTGGTATTGTGAGCCTGGCATGGTGGCACACACCTTTCATCCCAGCACTCAGGAGGCAGAGGCAGGTCGAGGTCAGCCTGAGATCGAGGCCAGCCTGGTCTACATAGTGAGTTCCAGGCCAGTCAGGGCTACATAGTGAGACCCTGTCTTAAAAACAAAACAAAACAGGAAGAAGTGGTATTGTTTGTCGAGAAATACACTTACTTTGGATTCCTTACATGGTCAGGGTAGGAGAACAAGAGAGTTGAAAGTGGAGTAAGTAAAATCTTTTAAACTCACAACTCTTGAAGTGTGGGAAACACCTCCAACAACTAACGTAGAGCATCCATGAAAACAGACCATGGAAGCCGGCCTTTCGGACCAGATCCTGAGGGGGTCGCCCGAGAGACTCAAGGGTGAATCCTGGGGAGCAGCTTTTCCTTAGGGATTTTGTGGGTGCTCTGACCAGGCCTGGCTGCTGGGTTCACTTCAAGCCTCTACTTTTCCCCATACCATATTTCTGGATGCATGCCAATGGCTTTCAAGTGAACAGTTGCTTAACAGGTATAAGCGGGGGGCGGGGGGTGTGCTTAAATGATTCTTCCTTCTGTTCAGGGTGCCACATTTTTCCTACACCTATTTTTCACTCAAAACCATTCGTATTTGATGTTACCTCTCTCTTCCCTATACAAGGTTTGATGACAGTTTTGTTGTTGGTGTTTCAATTTTGTTTTTGATATTTTTCATTTTATCAAAAATATAAAAACATTAGATCTTATAAAGAAATCAGTTACCTTCCCTTGCTCCTCCTTTCCTTGTTCCCCTCCCCTTCCCCTTCTCCCTCCTTCATCCCTCCCCTCCCCTTCTCCCTTCTTCATCCCTCCCCTTCCCTTTCCCTCACTTCTCTTTCCCTTCTCTCCTCCCCCCCCGTTCCCTTTTCCCTGTCTCCCCACTTCTTCCCCTTTCCTTCCCTTTTCTTCTCACACCTCTTCTGTTTCCCTTGTAGTGTCTCTTGAATACTAGTCATCCAATAATCGGAGACCACTGAAGGTTTTCTTTGGTGGGGCAAAGACAAATGCACTAACCCTTAACTGCTGGCAGACTAGCCTCATACCCTGATGCCTTGTGTGTTCTCTTCCATTCCCAGGGCGTCCTCTCCAACATCTCTTCCATCACTGACCTTGGTGGCTTTGACCCAGTCTGGCTCTTCCTCGTGGTGGGAGGAGTGATGTTCATTCTGGGGTTTGCTGGGTGCATTGGAGCGCTGCGGGAAAACACTTTCCTTCTCAAGTTTGTAAGTATTTTCCGATCTCAGTTTGAGATCCAAACTCTTCCTTTCCATGAGGATGACGCCTTAGTGACAGGCAAGATGTTAAGCTGTACCAAAGGCCTGAATGAAAATATGGCCCAGGATGGTATTCATTTAAGAGAGTTAGCTAGATCCTGCCCCTTGTGCCCTGACCCAGACATGCCTCCTTAACAATGTAAATACCACCTAGCCCTTGCCATCCATGGAGGTCTTGTGCATATATGCAACAAACTTGACTCCAATCCCTAAAGGTGCTTTAGAAATAAGGTATGTAGGGGTGTGTAAGGTGTGTAGGGTGTGTGTGTGTGTGTGTGTGTGTGTGTGTGTGTGTGGTGCATACACGTACATGTGAGTATGTGTGCATGTTTCTGTTATGAGCATTTTAAGTAGAAAGCCTTGCAGGTAATGATCTAGAGAAACCAGGCATTAGCTCAGCTGCCATGGCCTATCTAGATTATCTAGTTTGAATAAACATGGACATACAGTACAAGATAAAAGTTCTTTGCTGGTATTTCATTTTTGTTTTGCTATTTATCATTTTACCAAAAATATAAACACTTACAAAGAAATCAGTTAGATATTACAAAGAAATCAGTTCCCTTCTCCTTTCCCTGTTCCCTTCCTCTCCCCATGAGATTGGAGAGATGATGACTCAGTGGTTAAGAACATTGGCTGACCTTGCAGAGGTCTTGAGTTCCATTTCCAGTACCCACATGGCAGCTAACAACAGTCTGTAACTCCAGTTGCAGGGGATGCAGTGCCCTCTTCTGATCTCTCCAAGTGTACAAATGTGATGCACTGACATATATGCAGGCAAAACACTCAAACAAATAAATTTTTTTTACATTTCCATTGTATGACCAGTATGCTTTGAAGATACTTTACAGAGTACTTGGTGTGATTACTCTTATCTGGAGTATTTACAGAGGAGGACTTCAGCAGGAGGTATGCAAGTGTTAAAGGCAAAGTAGAGAATGAAAAGTGAAGCCTTCCCTTGGAGATTCCTTCCAAAGAAGAACAAATGATATGTGTTACATATTTGTATCTTAAAGAATGGAAAATGTGACCAGTTCTGCTGTGAAACAGAAGTGGAGCTTCCTGGTTGCCTGATGCCCTCAACTTGCTTTCTATACCTTCAGAAAGTGGGGCATTAGCTCACAGGGCCTTGGCATGTATGTTTCTGCCAAATACTTGGTATAAATTGCATTTCGATTCATTATCTATAGAGTTGGCATTCTAGTGGTTTCTGTAGAAGAAGCATTCACTCCTCCCTCTCCATGAACAGAGAAAGGATCAAAAGGACCCACTTTCTTGTAATGAGGGAGGATGCGGAATTCCAGAGAATAGCTTTGTACACCATCCCCTCTTATCAGAACCATCCCCAAGCCTACGACATTCTCTAGGGTCATTTTCACTTAAAACCAGAGCCTATCCCTGAACTAGTCCCAACAGCCACACACTGTGTACCAGCATGTCTGCTGTATTACAGCCCTCTGACATCTTTTCTGGAGCATCCCTAAGGAGAAGAGACTCACTATGCCCCCTCCCCCATCCAGGGTAGCCCATTTCAAATTTGGGCAGTTCTGCTCCTCATTCTTGAAGGCTGGGTTACCTTGAATCATACCACTTGACTCTTGCTTACAGGGAAGATGGGGGGCAGTTTCTTGGTCTTAGATACAATTTCATGGGGAATTAGTTCTTTTTTCCATATATATGACTGTAGTGGGATTAGCTAGTTCCCTAAGGCTTTGTCTGCATTATCTTCCAGATTCTTCCTTTTCTACACACACACACACACACACACACACACACACACGGAGTCATGCACATGCAAGCATGGACATTCCCTTCTTCACTGAGTCAAAGACCTCTAGAGCCTCCGGGGGTCTTTGTCCCTGATCATGAGTGCCAGCCTGCCAATCTTGGTATGAGGCATCTCTAAGTGCTGACCTTGCCCCAGTCTATTATCTGCCCCACTGTTTATCATTCGAAGCCTCCTTGTATCCAAAATGTGGGGTCCCTTTAATATAGTTTATTTGAACATGGATTCATTAATTCTAAATCCCCTTATGAAGTCTCATATTTAACAGGAATCATGTTCTTAGCTTGAGAAATAATTTAATTGGCCACTCTCTATTTAGTACTAACAATAAACCTGGCCTAGAACTTTCGTTGGGCAGGAGCTACGAGATAAATACAAAATCCATGCCTCCAAACAGCCTCAAAGATCTCTTCCCCTAAGACTAGGAGAATTGTTGGGAAAACCCAGGAGCTGAGATCCTGTGCAATAGAAGTGGAGCTTTGTGACTGACCAGTACCTTCAAATGAAGCCTCGAGTCACTTTTGACACCCATGGAAATTGGGGAGCTCACAGAGCTGGGTCACAGATCATGTAGCTCTCTTCCAGATATGTGATATGAATTGCATTTGGACTCAATACTTGATGCTGTTTCACATGATGCACATGCATGCCAGTTACAAATTTATGACTTTTGTGTGGTGTGAGAACTGCCATTTTTACATGTTTGTGGTAGTACCCAGTAAACAGAAGGGAATTGTTTTATACTGGGAGGAAGTCAGGGAAAAAAAATACTGTTTTTTTCCTAAGGAAAGCTTAATTTGAAATTATTAGTACCATTGATGATAAGGACTTCAAGGTTTTTAAAAAAAATATTTTATTATTTTTATTTTATGTGTATGAGTGTTATGCCTGCATGTAGGTAAGTGCACCTGTGTCGTGCAGTGCCTGCAGAGGACAGAAGAGGCCGTCGGATCCCCTGGGACTGGTGTTATGGACAGTTGTTAGCTGCCATGTGGGTACTGGGATTCGAACCCACATCTTCTGCAAGAATAGTGTTCTTAACCACTGAGCCATCTCTCCAGTTCCAGAACTTCAAGGTTTTTAAAAAAATGTTTTATTTTTTTATTTTCATGTGTATAAGTGTATTGCCTGCATGCAAGGGCACCTGTGCCTGAAATGCCCACACAGGTCAGAAGAGGACATAGATCCCTTGGAACTGGAGTTAGGGATGGTTGTTAGCTGCCATATGGGTGGTAGGAATTAAACCCAAGTCCTCTGCAAGAGCAGCCGATGTGTTTAGCTGCTGAACCATCTCTCTAGTCCCAAGAACTTCAAGTTTTATTTCCAGTGAGCTCACTGAGGACAGATAAGCTCAGTGGGGACTTGGAGGGCTGAGCTGGAGGCCTAGAAGTGGGACCTATGCCTGGGATCCTAGACTTTGCCAGACACTGGTTTTTGTCCTTTTAGCCCTTCCTCTCTTGCCTCCCCACAAAGAGGCACTTGTCCCCTCATCCCTTGAAGTGAGTGGCCACACCCCACTGTCCTCAACCGCCTGTCTGCTCCCCCAAATGACTTGAAGAGGGACTTTGAGCAGGATTCTGCTCTTGCTCATCCCACACAGTCCACATTGCCACAGGGCCTGACCATTGTGTAGACATTTGCTGAATGAATAAACTTTTTTTTTTTTAAAAAAAAAAACCTTTGTTTTTTGATCATTTGTTGAGATAGGGTCAGGCTCTGTAGCCCAGGCTGGCCTTGCCCTCAGCTCTTCTAACCTCAGCCTCTACGGTACTGGAATTAAAGGTATGTGCCATCACACCTGGCTCCTTTTTTAAAAATAAGCATCTTGTCTTGTCTCTGGGATACCTCTGTCCTGGTACATTCTCTCTTGGCTGGCTGCTTGCTGGGTATAGAAACCCCAGCTGTGCATCAGCCACTTCCTGTTCTGCTCAGCAAGTGTGGCTTCAGTGTCACCCTGGGCCATTGTCACCAGAAGAGTTTGGTCCTTCAGAGCCAGATTTCACAGAACAGTGTGGAAGGACAAGGATGCAGGAGTAGGGGGCAGTGGAAGGGCCTGTGGGCAGAACCTGCAGTCAGTGTGACTAAGCGGAGACTCTCAGAGGCTTCTAGGTGGAAGGGAAATTTCCCCAGGACCTCAGCCTAACTTTAAACGCTTCATCTGCCTTACCCAGAAGTCTCCCCTTGGGTGCATTTTGATGTTATTTAACCTGTTTCCTGAGCTTAGTGCTTCCCAGAGGGAGGTGAGGGTAGCTAGTGTTCCTGAGAAAGCCCTTAACCCATGGTTTTGTTTACATAATTAGAAATTATTTTCATGTCACAGTCATCCTCCCCCACCCCCCCTTCCTCTTTGACCTCTTCATCCAAGATGAACAGATCTCTTACTTCACACTGTATAGCAGGTGCAGAAGGGAATTAAAATGGTGTCTGAATCCATAAACTGTATATATTGCATGCCGAATCTAGGCCACAGTAGTAAATGACAGGTGACTGTAAAATATTGGGATAATCTACCTTTCAAATGAGAAAGAAAAGCTCCCTACAGGTCAGACAGACATTGTCCATATATCCGGCAGTACATCAATCCGAGCAATTCATTAGGCCTTAATATGGCTCTAAAGAAAAATTCCCATCACTCATGTTTGATTTGGGCTTTGTTGGTTAATTATCAAATGGAACACCAGAGACTCTAAAATATGATTATGAAGTAATTTTTAAATTTTAAAGGCCTTTTCTTTAAGTGTAATAGTCCATTAACAAATCAAAAGAAACAGAAGTCTATCTGCTTTAGAGATGTGTAACACCTGAATGTAATTACAGACATTTTCAGAGAGGCGCCACTAACTCCATGGGATCAAAACAGCCTTGTAATGTTCCCTGTTGTATGTATCTTTTGTCTTAGTTTTCTGTGTTCCTGGGAATTATTTTCTTCCTGGAGCTCACTGCTGGGGTGTTGGCGTTTGTTTTCAAAGACTGGATCAAAGACCAGCTGTATTTCTTTATTAACAACAACATCAGAGCATACCGGGATGACATTGATTTGCAGAACCTCATAGACTTCACCCAGGAATATGTAAGTTCAAACTTGGTTTATTTTCAAGTGGAAAGTCTTCTCACAGGGTGGTTCCCATAATGCTTTCTGTGTCTGCCAGCTGGAGACTGCCCCTGACTTTCTGGATGTTTCTAATTATTTATTGGTTTTCACTTGCTGTATGGCTTAGAGTATTTGTATCTCAAACAGAAATGCTCTATTTTCATTTGTTTCAAATTGTGTTAAATTAGAGGAATGAAAACAAAACTCCTAAGCAAAAAGGTTATAATCCTATTTGGCCTTGCCTATCAGCCTTTGAAGAAAATTGTCTTGCTATAGGTTTAAAATTTTATTGGGTTATTATGTATGAATTCTTCCTTATTCACACCCATCCTTTGATGACTCTCTGCACGTCACAGCTCATAGAAATACACTTAGTAGAACATTTGTCCATAAAGTTCCCAAAATATGCCTCTTTGAACAGGCATACCATATGTGTGCAGTCAAAACCGAAAATTTGGAAACTGTAAGACTGCCGTCTAACAAGTGGAAGATGACTGAGGTGGAGTCCTGCCTACGCAGCAGATGTCTGAACTTGCCTGTGTGACCGCTCCCAATGCAAATAGAGCAGCAGGTGCCCTGTCACTCAAAATGCAAAGTGACATAAACAGGAAGCCAAGAGACCCACAAGTCCTGGTGATTTTAGGCCAACAGAAACTTGAACTCTTTCCTCAATGGTAAAATGAGAATCAAAATTAGCTGCTAATTCCTGAGGATATTAGGACAATCTAATGAGATATGTGTATTTTCATGTTGGGCCTGCAGTGTTAATGGCCTACAAACTAGCAGGTCCTTACGTACCTGTACTGGAAAAACTGAGAATGGCAAGTGGATTTGCCCAGCAGTTTCCATGACATCAGTACTTACGGCATGCTTGGCAGTCATACAGAAGCCCAGTAGACAGGGGGCTTGCTTTGGGGTTGGACAGGTTGAGCTCAGGTCCCCTTCACCTTTGGTCAAGGAGGCCAGGGCTGTGTCAGCACTGGTAGCAAGGAGGGCTTCACTTCCTGAGGTAGCTCAGCACTGGGCTGGAGGTGTTAGTGTTGCCTGGTGGCAGCAGAGCAGCAGCTGTCTGGAGTAAACTGTTCTCAGATGTGAGGCTAAGCCCTGTTTCAGCCCCTCGGTGGACTTCCCCTTCCCTGTTTTCTTAGATCATAATTGGTGCTGGCTCACCACTTCCGGCCCATTTTTCCTAACTAGTTTGCATGACAAAGCTTTTAGAACTTTGCCGGGAAAATACCAGAAGCCCAGCCCAAGTCCAGAGGAGTGAATGAGCTTACAGAACATGCATTTGGGCAGACTCTACTCTGTGACTCTGCCTCTTCATGTGACTTTTGTTTTCTGTCCTGGAGTTTCATGTTTTGACATCGCTGTTGGTCCTGAAAACCTTAAAATGGCCAAGGCTTGGTTTTTATTTAATTTAGAGAAGCTGAGATACTCTAGCTCAGTGGAGTGGGGAACAAATGAGTTATATAGAGTAGCTATAATCAGTCCCCATTTAAGACCCATTGAATTTAGCATCTTGATTACTTTCTATTTTAATTAGATAACCAATTTTTAGAGTAATGTAAGCACACATTCTTGTGTTTAAAAATTCAGAGTAGGCCGGGCTTGGTGGCACACGCCTGTAGTCCCAGCACTTGGGAGGCAGAGGCAGAGGATCTTTGTGAGTTCAAGGCCAGCCTGGTCTACATAGTGAGTTCAGGTCAGCTGGGACTACAAGGAGACCCTGTCTC